GAGAGAGAGAGAGAGACAGGTTTGAGGGAGAGGGCATCCTGTGGAGAGAACTGAGAGAGAGGGAAAGCTAACCTGGTTGTTTTGTCATGTGAAGAGAAACAGCCCTTTGCTTCTGAAGGCCGGCATTACCTCGTCCGATGTGTTTGGTCGGCGGGATTTGAACCCACACCCTGCCCCAAGTGCAGGCAGAATTTCAAGTTTTTGCCGTTTTGTACTTACCAAGTTTTGAACCTGGAAGCTGAGTGTAGATTATCTATTAGCTTAGGCTAGAGCAGGCTTTTTAAGACCCGAGATCATGAATAGTTCCATAGGATAGACCCAGTAGGCCTAGGGTAAGATGCAGCTCATCAAAAGTGCCAAGCCCAGCAGAGTTTTCACCCAGTGAGTCATTCATAAAGCTTTGCTGTTTGGAAGAATGGAGATGCACTAAAGTTTTAGCTCTGACGACAGGTGAGACAGGGCACGGTCATAGCCACTAAGCTCTGGCTCTATTTCCCATCACTTCACTGTCTGCTTGATGTGTTGCGAACACAGGGACAGGGTGCCCATACCAGGTGTACATAATTTTCCAGCGGTTTGATCACACTATCGCCGCGTGTGTGTTGAATTGCAACTTACAAGTGAAGTTCCAATCGAGTGTGAAAAAAGTAGTGCTTCCAGTCAAGTGTGTGAGATCAATGCATGCTTGATAAGAACGAGCTCGCGAAGTATCTTACCGTCCGTGGTGTTGGAGCTAGCAGCAATCTTGACATCAGAGTTCAGACATGTCATAGATCCTGATACGCACCCACATCAGCAACAGTGCCACGTCAGCAACAGTGCCACATCAGCAACAGTGCCACGTCAGCAACAGTGCCACGTCAGCAACAGTGCCACGTCTGCAACAGTGCCACGTCTGCAACAGTGCCACGTCAGCAACAGTGCCACGTCTGCAACAGTGCCACGTCAACAACAGTGTCACGTCTGCACTTGGCCCGCCCGCCGCTAGCCAACTTCCACCCCGACTTATACCTCGTTTTGCACAATTTTCCAAAGGGATTATAACCGCGCACAACGGAGAAGGCGGCGAAGCTGGAAGGAAGATGCTATCACAGTTGAGAATGGTGAGGAGTGACCGAGCTTATGAGCAATCGGGTGATGCAGCTGCAGGCTAGGGGCAATCCCTATATACATATGAGGAGGCACCTCCTCCTTCAAGAAATGGTAAGGCCGCGTGGTCAGATAGCAAGATAGGAACGTGAAGCAAGCATTCCGCCGCTGAGCTGCAAGAGCGAAAGGAGAGACTGGAGGCTCAGTGAGTGAAAGTAACAAGCTGAGCTGAATGCTAAAATCACAGCTGCTGAAAAACATGTAAAGAACTGCAGAACAAGTGAACAAGGACATTGTGAGGACCATAACGTCAACGTGGGAGACAGACTTTCTGTGTTTGCCGTTCTTCACGCAATGATCATGGCACACGCATAAGGGGGTCTACCGCCTTCACCATGGCTCTGTGGGAGTCTACCGTCTTCACCAGTACACGCAGAAAAGTCTGTCTCCCACGCATTGGCTGCGCAACCAACACCATGTCCCAGAGGCTGAGGCAGGATTTTAAGAAGCAGCACCTGACACATAAGATAGCAGGGTAAGGAGATCATAAAATACTCCTCCCCAAGCAGCCAACTCAGGCAGGGCATTCCTCACAGAACCATTTGGGGGGTGGGGGGAAGGGGGGGAGGATCAGCAGCGAAGGCCTTCAAGGTCCAGCCTGAGTTGAGGTGACTTGACAGAAGAAGATGTCGACGTCTGGCTGTAGGAGGTGAAGCGGAGGTGAAGCGTCAGACATCATGTTCTCTGATCACTGATAAGTTGACAACATGACTACCGTCTTCCCTCGAATAGAACATAGGGTCATTTTATCCGTATTCGGCCCAACTTGCAGTCCAGATGCGGCAAAAATGACGCTACGTTCTATTCGGGTGAAGAAGGTAGACTCCAGTTTGGCAGCAATACGGACGATGAAGGTGAGCTGGAAGATTATGCGGCAGACCAACGAGGCTACCGCCTTCACCCGAATAGAACACCTGGTCATTATCACTGCATGTGGACTGAAAGTTGCTCCAGATGCAGCTATGATAATGATCGGGCATCCTATTCGGGTGAAAACGGTAGCTCGGTTGGTACCTGGGGCAGGCCAGTTCCACGGTGATATCTCAAAGCCGTCGCCCCTTTTTAAACGAAAAACAGAATACAAGACAAGGAGGGGGGGGGGGGGGAACAAAGGACTGTGCAGAGAGTTTTATGGGAGGACTTCTGCAACAGGTCGCTGGAAGCAATACTTGCCAGCAACCAGAAAAGACAAAATATATGACCGGCTCATTGAGTTATCACTGCAGCCGTATGGGGACCAGTCATAGGTGACCTGGTAAAAAAGAGGCAGTGTAATAGCAAGCAATAAAGATTTTTCACAATTCAGTGGTTTACAGAAAAATCCATGTTTTAGGTATTTCAAAATATTCACCCATAGACTGTAGCACTTCGAGATGTCGTTTAGTCCTCGGTATGAGATGTCGTTTAG